TTATATGTTTCCCTTCATATATGTAGTATAGAGTTTTGGTTATGAGTATTCTTCTAGGCTATTTGGGGAGTTGTTACAGCTGTGAGAGCTTTCCACTTACACGTTGCCATTCTTTGTTCACTAGGACAAGGGTAAACTTCTTCGTATAATGATCTTGTATCTGACAACCTTGTTGGGACTTGCTTGCTACATTTAGTGAATTGTCTTGGATTTTTTAATCTTTTCAACCTTGGGAAGTAAAATCTTGCATTCCCACCCAATCGTTGTGGTACACTCATTTTTTTTTTGTTCCATTTTCTGGGCTTTACAGTAAGTACATCTTTAAACCAAAAGGTTGGTGGAGGGTTCAGTCAATGGTTGGGAGCATTTCTGGAGAAAAGGATCTTCATGAGCTTAATTTTGATTCTCGCTGTTTTTCTCATAGTAATATTACCTACTTATGCTTCTTTGAACTGTGTTGGATTTTCCTGGACTGGTGGCAATCACAGGTAATCCCATCCAGTTGATCTGAGGGAAATGAGAAGTGTGTGACGTTTGCTCATTATCTTAGTTCAAGAGTGCCATCTTCTGTCAGACCACTGAAGCAGTGTCTAGTTGGCTCTGGTGACGGGGTGAGAAGTGGGAGGCCTGCTGCTGCTGCTGCTGCTGCTGCTGCTGCTGCTGCTGTTGTGCTGATGATGCTGATGCTGATGCTGTGCTGATGCTGTGCTGATGATGCTGATGATGCTGATGCTGTGCTGATGCTGATGATGCTGATGATGCTGATACTGTGCTGCTGCTGCTGCTGTTGTGCTGATGATGCTTATGATGCTGATGCTGTGCTGATGATACTGATGATGCTGATGTTGATGCCGTGCTGATGTTGATACTGATGCTGTGCTGATGTATCCAGAATCCTTAATTTCTGGTGTTTAGTTTATCAATTCCCTTGACTCTCTTAGTTGCCTCTCTCTGTTGCAGAAATAGTGCCTTTCCAGAATTGTCTTTCTGATTCTTCCTGCTTGGAACTGTGGTTCAAATCCTCTGATCTCAGTAACTCACCGATCAGGATAGTATGATGTTTCTGAAGGTGATGCCATGGTGTTCTGTCTAACCACAGGCACTTGTTACCATCTGTCCTTCTGTAAACCCTGCCAGCACTCTGGTCCAGTGTGGGCTTTGATCTCACTCTATGGATAGTGCCTATCTACACACAAATTGAATCTTACAGAGTCAAAGTCTAAATTATAATAGGATGTAAAGGTTCTGTCCAGTTTTTATTTATAATTCTAGAACCAGAAAATACCTAGTCCTATAAAATAGAGTGTTCTGGTAAGTTGAGTGGGTCAGGCTGTTTTGATAGAGAATGCTGAAGAAAGCAGAAACAAAGGAGCTGAACTGCCTGCTTCAGGTTTTTTTTTTTCCTTTGTAAAAATAAAATGGGTCGGGTCCTCATCTCCTTGAAATATCATATAAGCAACTTAGTTGGAGCTGGCTGGCATGGAGTTTTTCAGGAGCAATTCCATTTTGATTTGGTCTGTTTCAAGTAGTATTTTCCGTGCTCTCCTTAGGGATAAGTGTGTAGTTTAATTCTCTTTGTTGTTGAGCTGTCTTTGTGTGTGGTGTTGGAGGATCCGGGTATATTTTGAATTAAGAAACCAAGGGTGGAAGGATGTTTTACAGTCTCCTTCTGTGACTGTAGATTTATCATTTATCTTTGAGAATCTTGCCTTTCTCTGCTTTGCATATCATAAATATTTAGATTCTTATGAATATTATTGGTGAGTTGCTCTTTTAATCATGAGTAATGGTCCCTATAACTAGTGTTTGTTTTAAGTTTTGTCTTTTACATATGCAATTACCAGAAGAAAATATCTCTTGGCTAATACTTGTACATATGTTTACATATTTTTCACTTTCAAGATTTTTTAAAAATAATAAGTTTTGAAGCATATAGATGGGCCTTTAAGAAGTTGTGTGATATTCAATTTAGGGCCAGTAAGTATTAAATCCTTCACTGATAAGTTTTTCCTACTTCTTTAATCCTTCCTTCCTTCCTTTCTTCCTTCTTTCCTTTCTTCCTTTCTTCCTTCAAGTTGGTCTTTCAAATTTCATTTACTGATTTGAAAGTTATAAAGTTGAGTATCTTGATTCACTGTCAATTTTATTTATCCTTTGACATTTCATGCATGTATTCAATTTACCTTGATCACATCCAACCTCCTCACTACCCCTGTATCCCTTGGTATATGTCTCCCTTCCACCTCCATTTTGCCTTCTGCTTCTACTCCTTCCTCCTCAACCTTCTGTTTTTATAACAACCCGCTGACCACTGAGTCCAGTTAGTTCTGCCTGCATACTCATTAGTGTGGGGCCATCCACCAAAGCATGGCCACAGTCACAAAGAAGAAAGCTAATCTCCTTTTCCCAGCAGCCCCAGAGCTGGCAGCTCTTCTCCCATTCCTGCTGCAATGGTGATTGACTTGTTCTTGTGCAGGGCTTTTGCTAGTAACCACAGCTGCTGTGGTTCACAACTGCAGTGACTATGTCAGGTCTAGAAGATAGCATTCAACAGAATTCCTCCCCATCTTCAAGGTTTTAAGTTTTTTCTACACCTCTTCACTGATGTTCTCTGAGTCTTGGGGGAGGGGACTGATATGTAGGCAGTTTAGTCTCTTATTCTAGGCACTTTTGACCAGTTATGAGACTCTGCATTGTCTACTACCCACTGCAGAAAGAAGCTTCTCTGACTAAAGTTGAGAGCTACACTACTTTAGGAGCATAAACATAAATATTTACAAGGCAGTTTGACAGTATACTTATTTAGTAAAACAATAGTAGGCTCCCTCCTAGGGCCTTTGACCTTCACACCCATGAGTTTTTATCAGGTTTATAGTACCAGGCATGAAGTCCATCCTGTGGAGCAGATCTCGGTCCAACTTGAAAGTTATTGGTTATTCCTATAACAGTCATGCCACTATTGCTTCAGTGGGGGGGGGGTTAGTATTTTAGGATGCAGAGTACACCACCAGTAAGTTCACTGATGGCTTTTCTCCCCCACGTGATCTATAGTGCATCTTCTAGGGTCATGAGGGCTATCTAACAGAAATAATATCCAGGTCAGTTCTTGTTTGATTTCCTCTATGTTCTTCAACCAAAATGCATTGTGTCTTCAGCGTTGTGATTTTGCCATCTAGCTACAGTGGGCAACCAAGAACAATAGCAATAGTGTGAGATGTTTTGGGGGCCTTGGGACCCCCATGACCAATAAATAACTTCAGAGGGATCTATCCCACACACTGAAATTTTCATTTAATATACCTTATCTTCTAGGGGAAGCATTGTTTCCCCTTTGAGGCTACCAATGTTCAAACTTCTTTTTAATTAGCTTACAAAGCGGTAGGTATTCATAAGGGTTCTTAATACAGTCTTAGTTTTAGTTAAGGCACTTCTGCACCTTCCACCTCTTCATTCCTTTATCTTCATCTTTGTTTAAACCTTTAACCCCAGCTTGTTCCTCCCCACATACCTCAACTTTCACATCTCACATGTTCTATCCATTTCTCTCTTTCAAGGCTTCACCCCTCTCATGTGAACTTCTATTTTTGTTCTTTTACTCAAGTGTATATCAGTATATCTAAAGGGATCTAAAGTGTATATATCTAAAGGGATTGTTGAACTACAGGCTGCTGGGCCCATGCCCAGAGAGGTTCTCATTCATCGGATTTGGAGTAGGACCTAACTAGTATCATATTCATGAGTTTCACATCTACAGATTCAAAAATCATCAACTGAAAACAATGAAAAGAAAAACAACTCTATGTTGGACACATAAGAACTTAAAAAAATATTACTGCTGAAACCATGCTATTTACTTAGTGTCCAAATTATTTACTTAGCATTTACATTATGTTAAGCAGTATAAGCAATCTAGAGATGACTTAGAATGTATACGAGGATGTATGTTGTGCTATACACAAAAACAAATTTACAGAGGGGACTTGAGCATCCACAGATTTGGGTATCCACTGGTGTTTTCCTCTAGAACACAGGGAAGACTGTATTCTCTAACTCCCAGGCTCCAGGTCAGGGTGCTGCACTGTTCAGGAAGTAGCACAGAGAGAGCTGGCAGCAATTGGTGGCTACCACCAACTAAATCCACCACCTATACCCATTCGACTGCTGGAGCTGGATTTTGTTATCTTGAAATTCTTATTGAAGGCTCTTGCTTTCCAAAGAAGCTAGGTATTTTCTTTGACCGTCCATTTCTAGAATATTGGTGGGAACACAAGCACAGCTTCATTTCTATAGAATATCTCCCTTACCCAAAGCTCTAAACAGAGAAACCCTTGCAAGTTTCTCTGGGCTAAAAACTGGGGTTTCCCTAATCTCTTCAATGTGGAAGTACAATAAACTTTTCTTGTTTGTTACCCATAACTAAAATGCCACACCGTGGGCTTAGGTACGGCCTTTGTGATTCCCATTGCATGTGTCTTTTCATTGTCAGCACCCCAAAGGCTTCCTTTTGAGCTTGGCTATTCTTATATATTTGGTGGAGGGCATATGATTCATATAATGCTTCTGTGTGTTTAAGAGGTGGAGGAGGGGCTGGGGATAGTCCGTGATTTCAGCAACCTAGGTATCTTCCACAATCTCTTCAGCCATCAGCTGGCAGTGAATGTGGGACTTGGGGTCAAAACGATTTTGAGGCAGAAAGTGGGTAATGTAGAGAATCTGGGGAATGCAGAGCACCTAAGATGCTGATGGGACTTGGTAGCTATAGGTGTTAGTACAAGAGCACAGAAGGTTGTGAGGAATTGGAAGGAATTCAGGGAATGCTTGCTAGGGAGAACTAATCCTGTGAAGACGGCCTGGGAAGGCTGGACTCAAACCCTTTGTCAGTACTGATCTTTCCTGAAATGTGTTTGTTTCACAGCAGTGGTTTGTTTGTTTGTTTGTTTGTTTTTGGTGGCGATGTGGGGGTTATTCCTTTTCTGACATCTTGACTTCTTTTTCTTTAGGTGTGCTTTAACAACATACTCTGAGGATTACACTCCACAGTATAATTATCCGCCACCAGTAAGTACGAGAATCATATTCCAAGTCTACTCACGTAGGTGACTCATCACATGGAGTGCCTAAGTGGAGAGCAGGGATTTCTAAGACTTAAAATGTCTTATATTAATTAAGAAAATACTTGGTTCTTGTGAGAATCAATAGAATGTTTTATATCTATGATTTAGTTTTGGAAAATAATGGCTCTTTTAGGGAAGAAAATAGCTAAGGTTCTAAATATATAAGATATATTGATCATTTTCTCCCTTGCTTATTTATTATTTCTACCCTGAATAGAACTTGCATGGAATGAAACCACCTTTCTACTTACTTTTATCTTATGAGCACATAGACGTATGGAACTTAATTTAGTTCTGGGAAATTGAGTTTTGATTTCTCTTGAAGTCCAGTTTAGATCTTAAACGCATACATATATGTTTTTTGAGACAGAGTTTTTTCTGTGTAACAGCCCTGGCTGTCCAGTTCTTGTAGACCAAGCTGGCTTTGAACTCACAAGATCCACCTTCCTCTGCCTCCCGAGTGCTTGGATTAAAGGTGTGTGCTACCACTGATCTACTTAAACAATTAGGCAGTTGAACTAGCAAGAAAGGCCTCACTTTTAAGGCACTTGAGTAGCCAGTGAAAAGTCCTAAGTTGAAGTCAAGAAGGAAGAGTTGGAGTAACAAAGGGGGTAGAGAGATGGGACAGAGGAAGGAAGAAAATATACCACAGAAACTAAATTAAAGTGGCTTCATCCTGGCTTTTCCTTGTGCATCTTAACCAGTGAAACAGCTATGAGATAAAATTAAAATGTTTAACTACTGACAAAGATTATTTAAAAATGCCATTATTGTCTCAAATAGTGTGACTATCTACTTAAAAGAACCAAGATATATTGAACTGTGAAGTAACAGGGATGAATAAGATAAAACTTTTCCAGCTGGGTGTTGGTGGCACACACCTTTAGTCCCAGATAAAGACAAGCAGATCTCTGAGAGTTCAAGGCCAGCCTGGCCTCCAAATCGAGTTCCAGGACAGCCAGATCTGTGACACAGAGAAACCCTGTCTCAAAAAAAAAATATTTTCTCCATACAGCACAAGTCAGTAAATTATAAAAAGGAAAACATACAAATATAGCAACACAACATAAAATACTCCCTTGGAGAGAATTTTCTCCAAGGCCAATGCAAGAAATGTGACAATTTAGTACCACCAGAAACACACACACACACATACACACACACACACACACACACACACACACACACACACACACACACACGAGAGAGAGAGAGAGAGAGAGANACACACACACACACACACACACACACACACACACACACACACACACACGAGAGAGAGAGAGAGAGAGAGAGAGAGAGAGAGAGAGAGAGAGAGAAAACACTTTCTTACTTGCCGAGGCTCCGCCCTCACCAAGAGAAGAGTTCTTCTGTGTTTCTAGAATGAGGGCTGTCAGGTGACTGATTTGGTCATCAGAACAGGACAAAAAGGACCTTATGCTACTATATCACCTTTTGTAGCCTGAACAACCTGGCTGCTATTAAAGGTAGGGGTGGGGAAGGAACACTGAAGGTCACGGCTTGAGACAGAGGAAACCACCCTGGGTGTCCAACTTGGTTAAGGTTGGAGTCTATTTGCAGCTTCCAGTCAGCTGCAGCTCCTGCAGCATGATTCACAAAATACTGACAAAGAAGGGGTGGATATGTTACCTTGTTAGAGACTCCATCATGTAACCTTAGCATGAGTAGGTTCCCCTACTCATCCGGCCTATAACCATTACATATGCATTTATTGAACGATTTTGAAAGCGTTTAGACTCATGTTATTTCAAATGTTTGTGAGCTGAGACTTTATTTTTATACTGGTCTCTTGCATCACCTCAACCCACATTTGTGAGGAAGAAAGTAGGAAATAAAGGGAATGCAGTTGGTGAAGAACCGAATCAACATCCTTGGGGTGTGTAAGCAAAGGTATCCTTTCGGTTAGAGACTAACAACATGGAAATGGATTCCAGCAGAGAGAGGACCTATGAGATGGTTCAAGCAGGTGAAAGCCCCTTTAACCAAGGCTGCTAACCTGAATTCTGTTTGTGAAACCCACATGGTAGAAGGAGAACTGACTAGAACCCACTAGATGTCTTCTAACCCCGGAACACACACACGCACACACACACGCACATGCACATGCACACATGTTCCTTGGTTTATGTTGCCCTTTCTGGTTGTGTGTGGCTGTGTGTTGCCTGGCAGGAAAATCTTATGGTATCCTTCCCAGTGCAGTCACTAGAGGTTCTAGATCAAATGTGGTTTTAGGTACTGGGGGCTGACACTTAGAAATGGGGATGAACTGGGAGTTGTGAGGGAGACTGAATTTAAAGGAGAGGAGGAGAAGGGAAGATTAGCCTGTGCGTTTCCCTCCAAGTTCTCCAACTCTTAAATTCAACTCTTGATGTGATTTATCTCTGTATCATTGACTTTGTTCTATTATAAAAGAATTTAATTTACGACCAAGTAACCTTTTGGATTAACAACTTTGGCAGACATTTCAGTCTGTCAGTTTGGAAACTGAATAATGTTTTAATTCTCCATGCTTCTGGGTGAGTCACCAGTATTCCATAATGGTATTATTGGAAAGTCCAGTTCTGATGAGCTGCAGTGTTTCTGGAGGAAGATGGCACCACTGTCCTGGTTGTCACTTTCCTCCTAGGTAGTCAGGTGCCACACCCCTTTGCCTGTAGGCAAGGCTACAATGCCCAATTCTGCTTCAGAGAATCTCGGACTGAAAGGGGTTTTACTTTCTTCTTTCCAACTGTTTGATTTCTGCAGAAAACACATGTGTCTTTTGTAAAGGAGAAAATATTTTAAAATGGAGATCTTCAGGCTTCAAATTTACATGTGATATATTATGTCATTTGGCTATAAATACAACTCATTATCAAAGAAAGATGTCACCATATAATACAGACTAAGGACTAAGGAAAGAGACGTGTGTGTTTTGTGATTGCGATGCTAGAACCAATGTCAGTGGCTGGTGTTCCATAGGCCGCTGTGAGTGTTACTGCCTGGAACCTAAGTGCTCTGATATTCCTTTAAAAAGTTGGTTCATCTTTTCAAGTGTTTGTTCCCATAACTCTTCCTAATTTTTCCCTATATCAAAACCTTATTAAATTGGCTACATTTGTTAGTTGTGTAGCAATTTCTGTTTGTACTCACATCCTCGGCTCCTTTATCCCTTTCGTGAAATTTCCTTGTGGTTGAGTGTCTAAAATGATACAAATGAGTTTTTCCTTTATAAGATATATTCAGTAGAAAAGAGATAGTAAGTTCTACTTAAATATATAATAAAATGCATCCCATTAATTGCATATTTAATTATTGTTATATCAGCTGATTATTATTATTTCTAATATAGACATTGAGAGGAAATGACATCCAGTAGGAATCAACTCACTGAAGTTCAGTGAAGAAATAAGTAAGGTCTGCCACCAGTGTCACCTAGAGTCACCCAGGGTAGATAAGGCAGATTCTTTCTCATTTCCGCCCATGCTGTGCTCTCTGCATGTGTGCTTTGAAGACTTTACCAGGGGATGGTCGGGTCTTAATTCAGGTGCATAGGAGTCATGGAGTTTTTATAGATAATGTATACAAAAATTACAAAAAATCCTTACAGGCAAACTATAACAATTATATACTTTGGTTTTGTCCAATGTGACATTCACATCAGTATGCTTGCTGCTTCCAGTGCCCTTTAAAAGCAAATGAAGTTCCCCGAATGAGTGTACTTCTGGGCATACAAAGGAAGGATAGCCTTTGCTGTACTAATGCCAGGTGGGTGATGGCTGTCATTACAGTACACACACGGGTAGTCCACAGTGACTGGTTTGGCCGGGAAAGAACCCATTATACATGTTTACAGACGAGCTGGGTGGATGGACGGAGACTGCTTTCAAATTAGAGTATAAAATTAGGCAGCTAACAATGTCTCAGAAGCCTGGTCTTCAACTGAAAATGACCTTGAAAAATAAAATTACCAAATAAGAAAGGGACCAAGGAAACAGTGACATCAGTAAAAATAGACCCTTAGAATGGATTGCTGGAAGGTTTGGAAAACTTGGCTGAGGATTAGCTTGGCATTGACTAAGAAAGAGCAGTGTCGATTTGTCAGGGAGGAATGAAGCAGGAGGTAACGGTACACAGGGGTCCCCACATGACTTCTGGGAGAGTCAGTAATGGTTCATTCTTAGAATATAGGTGACTGAATTGTGCTCCTTTATCCTAAAGAATAAGAATGTAGCACCCAGGAAGCATAGGGTGTGGGGGAAGAGATGCTCTTGGGCCAACCCATTATGTAAGATACTATGAATAGTGTGTTAGCCTATATGACAAAACCTGACACTTGTCTTTCTTTTTTTTTTTTTTTTTTTGGTTTTTCGAGACAGGGTTTCTCTGTGGTTTTGGAGCCTGTCCTGGAACTAGCTCTTGTAGACCAGGCTGGTCTCGAACTCACAGAGATCCGCCTGCCTCTGCCTCCCGAGTGCTGGGATTAAAGGCGTGCGCCACCATCGCCCGGCTTTGTCTTTCTTGTAAGTGGAGATCAACTGGGAAATGTACTCACTAAGAAGACTATTGTAACATCCTAGGCTGTCTTGCCATGATCCATAAAATAGGAAGAAGGAAGCAGAATAAAAAGATGGGAAAGAAGAAACCTCCTCAGCCAGTTTTCCCCAGGCTAGCCTTCTGTATGCTCTCCCTGCAAGTCAGGCATTGTAACTGGGCTGTTTAGCCCTCGGCATCCCTTTCTTCTCTGCCTTTTATCAGCATGTTTATTTTTTTTTGAACTCCCTTAATCCTTTCCTAAGCAGCATACACTAAGGTGATAGAAACTGATTCATCCCACTGTATTTTGTTAAGTTGCTTCTTTCCAACTTAGTGTTATTGGTGCCCACCGAATTCTTCAACCTCTTTAGTCCTCGTAGATCTACAACCCTCTCCTCGCTGCTCCTT